AGGGTTTAGGGCCTAATATAGGGGCCTGAATAATTGCTTATACTGTTTTTGGGGTTCAATATTAAACTATAGTATATTATACCCCCAAAACTTTAATCTAATTATTAAGGCCCCTACATTAAAACCCTAAAGCCCTGAACCCTAAACCCCTAAATCCCTAAACCCTAAAACCCTAAAGCCCTAAACCCGAAACCCCAAGCCGCATCCCAGCCCCAAGCTTTATCACGCTTTCGACACGTAATATAGGGGCCTAAATAATTTCCTATATTATTTTGGGGGTTCCTTACTATAAGTATGGTATAATGGGCCCCAAAACCCTATTCTAATCATTAAGGCCCCTATATTATCCCTTGAAGCTTCAAGGAAGACAGGCATATTGCATCAGACGTTTATGGGGCTGTAGGGTGTAGGGTTTATAGGGCTTCAGGGGTGTAGGGTTTTAGGGTTTAGGGGGTCTAGGGTTTTAGGGATATGGGCCATGGGTCCTAAATCTCCTGGAGTAGAAACAACCTAAACCACAAACCCGACATTGTGAACGCGAGCGATGCAACTCTCACCCCCCAAACCCTAAACGACCTAAAACATCCTAAAACCCTGAACCCCCCGAAACCGCTAAACCGTAAAGCCTACACCCGTGAACCCTAAATCCGAAATCCCTAAACCCCGAAACCGTAAACCCTAAGCCCCTCTAAACCAATCCTGAAGCCCTCCAAGAGAAAATGCTCCCAGGGACAGCGAAAGGGCAAGAGCTGAGGCCCTCCCCGGTTTAGGGTTTAGGGTTTAGGGTTGGAGGGTTTAGGCTTCAGGGTTGGAGGGTTTAGGGTTTAGGAATGTTTAGGATTTAGGTTCCCAGCCGTACACTTCTTTTGCCCATTAACAAGAAGAAGGGCAATATAATAGGCTTAAATAATTTCAATAGGCTTTTGGGGCCCATTATACGATAATTTTAATAAGGAGCCACCCAAAATAGCATTGGTAATTAATATAAGGCCCTTACATTGCCCTTATTATTACTGTAAGGGGCTACTGGGAACCTAGTTTGAATCCTTTCTGGGTTTTGAGTTCTGGCTTTTAGGGTTTGGGGTTCAGGCTTTTAGAGGCTAGGGTTTTTGTAGGGCTTGGGGTTCGGGGTTCAGGGTTTAGGCTTTGGGGCTTTGTGGGGTCTAGGGTTTTGAGTGTTTATGGACTTTGGGTTTAGTTTCCATCTGGTGTCAATTGTGTTTTATAGTGCGTTTTATTCATGCTGTATACCAGTCTTTTAGTGTCTATTCATGGTTGCTTTTTGAGTTTTATTGGCCAGAAGTTGTGTTTACAATGTGTTTGCTATAGGGTTTCATAGCCATGCTAGGTGGTTTGGGGTTTAGGGCCCAGGGTTAAGCTCGAGAAGGTGTTTTGCTGTTTCAGGGCTTTGCGCTACCTCGTTTTGTGATTGAGGTGTTCTTGTCGTAAAGTGGCTTCGTGAGGGTTTCATAGCCTTGTTTTCCGTAGGATTTCCTGTCGCTCACCACTTAATATAGGGGCCTTAATAAATAGAATAGGTAAACTATACTATAAATATGACATGCACTCCCAAAAAAAACCTTACTCAACATATTCAGGCCCCTACATCAGGTTTAAATCTTCAGAGTCAGATGTTGCCTGGCTTTCGAGATGCAAACGCTTTGGGATTTGGGCTTCGGGGGTCTGAGGCTGAGGGCATCGGTATATGACATATAAACCCTAAACCCTAAACCCTAAACATAATGGGTTTAGGGTTTAGGGTTTAGGGCGTTTCCCGGCCTAGAGAGCCGAATTATTCAAGCCCCTAAGCCCTAAACCTCATGGTTTAGGGTTTGGGGTTTAGGGTTTAGGGTTTAGGGTTTAGGGTTTAGGGTTTAGGGTTTAGGGTTTTGGGTTTAGGGTTTAGGGTTTAGGGTTAGCCCTAAACCTCATAAGCCCCTAAGCCCTACATCTCATAAGCCCCTAAGCCCTAAACCTCATAAGCCCCTAAAACCTAAACCTCATAAGCCCCTAAACCCTATAAGCCTTAATCCTTCAAGGCTCGAAAGAGCCTCCTAAACCATACACCCCTATAAACTTTCGGGTTGAGGGTTGAGGGTTTCGTTTTTTTTGCATTTCGGGGCTCCGTTGTTTTAGGGTTTAGGGTTCAGGGTTCAGGGTTTAGGGTTTAGGGTTCAGGGTTTAGGATTCAGGGTTGAGGGTTGAGGTTTTGGGGTTTAGGGTTCAGGGGTTTGGGTTTAGGGTTTGCGGATAGTAGTTACATAGGTTAGTATGTGGAAAGGCATATGATGAGAAAGGTTCTTGGGCTCACCTCTTAGGGTTAAGATGCTTACGGTTTAGGACTTCAGGGATTTGGGGTTTAGTACGGGTTTTGAGGGTCCAGGGTCTAGGATCAGAAGATTCCCTGCAAGGCCCACCCCCCACGCGCTGATCTCCACATTGCTGTTGGCAGCTGACCGTGCATGAGCCATGTTGCCTCCTGTGCTAGGATTTGGAGTTTAGTGTTAAGGGCTGAATCCCTAAACCCTAAACCCCAAAACCCTAAACCCTAAACTTTCAGTGCTTGGGAGGGTCGGTGGTTCAAAGAGATGTTGCACCATACTGCTTCGATATCGATCTACAGTAGTTAGTTCTTTGGTGCCTTTGGTAACCCCTAAACCCCTAAGCCCTAAACCCTGGACCCCTAAGCCCCTAAGCCCTTATAAATCCTAAATCCTAAACCCTAGACCCTCGGACCCTAAACCCTAAGCCCTGAACCCCTAAGCCCTTATAGACCCCTAAGCCCCGAGGCCCTTAAACCCGATTCCCAGCTCGTGTGGACCGGGATGTCTAAGTCTTGAACTACTGGCTTTATAGTTGGCTAGAAGGATAATATAGGGGCCTTACTAATTTTGAATAGAATTTGGGGCATGTTATGCTATACTTATATTCAGGAACCCCCAACACCCTATTCTAACCCTAAACCCTAAACCCTAAACCCAATTAAGGCCCATACATTATTGTGGGAGCAGCTCCTTGGGTTCCATGCATCTTTCGGAATGCGCTCTCTGAGAACTCCTTGGCACCCTAAACCTTGAACCCCCAATGCCCCTAAACCCCTAAACCTTAAACCCTTAAACCCTAAACCCTGAACCTCTATAAGCCCTCAACCCTAAACCCTTATTATAAACCTTAAACCCTTAAACCCTAAACCCTGAACCCCTATAAGCCCTCAACCCTAAGCCCCAAACCCTAAACCCTAAACACCCTAAGCCCTAAACTCTAAACCCTAAACCCTAAACTCAAAACCCCAAGCCCTAAACCCTTATTTTAAACCCTAAGCCCTTATAAGCCCTAAACCCTGGACTCTCAACCGGCAGCCACAGCCAGAAACCCAAAGCTTCCACTATTCAAACAGCAGCGCGGTTCAGGGTTTAGGGTTTAGGGTTTAGGGTTTAGGGTTTAGGGTTTAGGGTTTAGGGTTTAGGGTTTAGGTTTAGGGCTTTCGGTTAAGGGAGCTTTCGCCCTAAGCCCCAAACTCTAAGCCCACAGCTCCCCTAAACCCTAAACCCCTAAACCCTAAGCCCTAAACCCCAAAGGCCCGAACTCCAAACTCTCAGCCTCAACAACGAGCATCTTGGCAAGTGTACGTGGAGCTGGGACCACAAGCAGATGTGACGAACATGCTTCGACTGTCGGAGGCGCTTGCTGAGAGTCCTACCCTAATAGCATGTGTTTAGGCTTTAGGGGTTTACCATAATAGTATGTTTCTTAGGAGCCCAGTAGGAAAACATAAAACTTTTTGGTATATTAAACCCCCTACTGAAAGAAAAGTTTAAACTTTTTTGGGCCATAAAGGGTTTTTGGGCTTTAGGGGTTTATAGTTTAGGGTTTAGGGTTCAGGGCTGAGGGCCCGGGGACCCCAAGACTTGGAACAAGGTCTCCTTAGAATATGTACCAGCAATCCAAGTCTGATTATAAATGGTTTAGGGGTGTAGGGTTTAGGGTTCAGGGGTTTAGGGTTTAGGGTTTAGGGTATTCAATATGCTTTACATTTATAGACTTTAGACCCCAAAGTAGACTGTGTGTATACTTCCAGTGTCACGCAGTCTACAGCCACAAGATAGAAAACCTTAGAGCCCTGGCCATAACCGTCAAGGCCTGCACGAACAAGCAGCACTTTACAGCCAATCCACTCACAAACAACTAATCTCCTACTCAAGCCTGACCCGTAGGCTCCAAGTACCCAACTAGTTTAACTAGTAGGGCTTCAGGTACCCGGAAAATTGCAGAACATGGTATGCCAGACTCAAAGACCCTACTCGGCTCGAAGCTTAACCCTCCTTATACACGAAGCGGGAAAGAGCCCTTGAACGAAAACAGCTTTACCCTTATTCCTAAAGCCAAAACCCGCAAACCCTAAACCCTAAACCAAAGACGACCTTCACTCTCCTATTGTACGCCTGTGCTTCTGACAGCCGGGGCAATCTGTCCTTCGGAAGAGCAACGATGCCTGCGCCGATTTCGGGTCTAGGCACTCTAGGGTTTGAGGCTTATAGGGTTTAGGATTAAACCTATATAGGGTTTAGGGGTTTAGGGGTTTAGGGCTAGGCTTGGAGTTTAGAGGATGAGGGTCTAGGGTTAAGTCTAGGGCTCCGGGGTTGAGGGCTTAATATAGGGGCCTAGATAGTTACCTATACTATAATCGGGGCTCATGGGCCCCCAAGGTTCTTGCTTCGTAACTTTTAGGGCTTCGGGCTGAGGGGCTTGAGCATCTTAGAGCTTGTTTTGTTTTGTTGGGTGGGGGAGTAGGTTTTAAGGTTAAGGTTTTAGGGTTTAGGTTTAGGGTCTAGGGTGTGGGGTTGAGGGTCTAGCGTCTATAGGTTTTAGGGTTTAAGGTCTATAGGTTTTGTGGTTTAGGGTCCAGGGTCTGCAAATGCAGCTCAGCGTGCATGGGGCAGAATCCCCGCACCTTTCAGGCACTGGGATCTGCCTGCCTGTAGAACCAAAGACCCGAACTTTGGTGCTTGTCGGTTTTCTTGACAGATGGTAATATAGGGGCCTAAATAATCACCTATACTATTTTGGGGGGTCTCCTTATCATATTTATACTATAATGGCCCCCCCCCCCAAGCCCTATTCTAATTATTAAGGCCCCTACATTACTTTACTTAGTAAGCATCCTACTACATACCATTAGGGGTCTTGAGACACAGACAGATTCAAACTGTACTTCACGCACTGACGGTGTCGGTTGAAGAGCTCGGTGGCGGCAGTTGGTTTGTTAGCGTCTTGCGCCGCCGCAAGAAGTGGTGTGGTCCAGGTGCCAAGTTTATAGTGCTGACCCAAAACCCAAAACCCTAAACCCTAAACCCTAAACCCTGACTGCAATGAACCCAGTGAATGTCCCGTTGAAAGGTACTCGGATGACTCTAGTGATTCTTGAATCACGATAAGTCAAGCCGAGATAGTTGAGGACTTGTACTGTTGAAATTCAGGGATTTAGGGTGGTAACAAGTAGGGAAGGGCCTAGCATCCTGCTTTGGGGGAGGGAGTTCATCAAAAGCAGATCGACCCCCTGAAGCCCACATGACTCCAGAGCGGCAGGCATTCATTGTCTTCGAAGACGTTTTGAACCAAGCACATGGGTGACTGAAAAAGTCGCCCATGCTGCTTTTCCCTGACCAAAGACTGAGTACTCCATCTTCATAACTGCGTTCAAAACCGAACCCGGAATCCTCAGCCATCCGGCCAGGAGTCACCAGCCTATCTCC